TATGATGTCTTTCTAGTTTTAAGCTTTTTGAGGAATCTCCATACTGATTTCCATGATGGTTGTACTAATCTATATTTTCATCAACAGTGTAGAAGGGTTACTTCTTTCTTGCAGCCTCTCCAGCATGTTATTATTTTATTTTTTGTACTGGGGATCAAACTCAGGACTTTGAGCTTACAAGGCAGATGGAGTGCCACTGAGCTAAATTCCCAGCCCATTATTTAATTTCTTGATGATAGCCATTCTTTCTGGGGTGAGATGGAATCTCAGTATATTGTTTTAATTTGTTTTTCTCTAATGGCCAGCGATGTTGAGCACTTATGTATTCACATGTTTGTGCTTCTGCTGAGAAGTCTCTATTCATTTCACTTGCCCATGTTATATATGGTATTTTATTTTGAAGGGTCTATTTTTTTTTTGAGTTCCTAATATATTCTAGATGTAGTTCTCTAAGGAATAGCTGGCAAATTTTTTCCCATTTTGTAGGTTGTCTTTTTATGCTGTTTTTTCCTGTGCAGAAGATTTTTAATTTGCATGATTGCATTTGTTGATTCTTGGTACCATTTCCTGTGTAATCAGGGTTCTGTTAAGAAAGTCCCTATTCATACCCATGATTTTAAGAGTTTTACCTATTATTTTTCTATCTTTTTTTTTTAACCAGGATCAAACTCAGGACCTTGTGTTTGCCAGGCAGGTGCAGTGCCACTGAGCTACATCCCCGGCCCAAGTTTTACGTATTTTATCTTCCAGCGGATTGTTTCTGTTTTAACATTTAGTTCTTTGAACCATTTTGATTTTAGTTTAGTGCATGGTGAGAGATATGGGGCTAGAGTCAATCTTCTGCATGTAGACACCAGTTTTCCCAGCATCACTCATTAAAAAGGTTTTCTTCCTCCAGTGTATGTTTTTGGTCCTTTTGTCAAAGATCAAATAATTACATGTGCTTAGGATTGTTTTTCTGCATCCTCTATTCTGTTCCATTGATCCCCATGTCTGTTTTTGTGTCCATGCTGTTTTTATCACTGTAGCTTTGTAACATAACTTCAGGTCTGGGATTTTGATGCCTCCCTCTTGTCCTCTTATCCAGGATTGCTCTTGCTATTCTGGGTCTCTTCTAGTTCCTTATGAATTTTAGGATTGTCCTTTCCAGTTCTGTGATGTATGCTGTTGGTATTTTCATTAGGACTGCATTAGGGCAATTTTGGAAGTAGGGCCATTTTGACTACATTGATTCTTCTTATCTAGGAACTGGAGATGTCTTTCCATTTTCTGATGCCTTCTTTGATTTCCTTTTTCAGAGTACAGTCCTAATCAGAATACTGCAGAGGTCTTTCATTTCCTTAGTTAGCTTAATTCCTAAATATTTAATTTTTCTTGGTGCTATTATGAATATTTTTCCCTAATTTCTTTCTCAGTGGGTTCATTATTGGTGTACAGGAATTCTATTGATTTTTGTGGTTTTTTTTTTGGTATCCTGCTACATTGCTGAATTTGGTTATTAATTCTGAGTTGTTTGGGTGGATTTTTGGGGGGTCTTTTATGTAGAGGATCATATCATCCACAAATAAGAATAATTTTACTTTTCCCCCATTCATATCTTTTTTTTTTTTGCCTAATTGCTCTTGCTAATGGTCAGTTACTATGTTGAACATGAGTAGTAACAGTGGACATCCTTGTCTTGTTCCTAATTTTAGAGGGAAAGCTTTCAGTTTTTTCTCCATTTAATATGATTTTGGCAGTAGGTTTGTCATAAGTGGCTTCCATCAGATTGAGATAAAGTCCTATACCTATTTTCTTTTTTTGGTTTTTTGAGACAGGCTCTCGCTATATAGTTTAGGCTGGCCTTGCACTATGTAGCACAGACTGGACTCCACTCATAATGATCCTCCTGCCTCAGCTTCCTGAGTGCTGGGGTTATAGGCATATGCCACCACACTCGACCTACACCTATTTTCTTCAGTGTTATTTTTATCATGAATGGATGTTGGACTTTGTCAAAGGCTTTTTCCTTGCCTATCAAGATGATCATGTGATATTTCTCCTTGCTTCTGTGTATGTGGGATTATTGCATTTATTGATTTGCTTATGTTGAACCATCCTTGCATCCCTAGGATGAAGCCTACTTGGTATGATGTATGATCTTTTTGATGGTTCTTTGCATTGTTTGGCAGTACCTTGTTCAGGATTTTTGCATCTACATTCATTAAGGAAATAGGTCAATGTTTCTTCTTTTTGGTTGTATCCTTGTGTTTTGGAATTAGGGTGATAATGGTGGCTTCCAGGAATGACTTTGGGAGTATGTTTTCCCTTTTGAGTTCATTAAAGAGCCTGAGGAGCTCATTGGTATTAGAGCTTATGTGTATTAGATCTTCCCTGAAATTTTTGTAGACTTTGCAGTATTTATGTCTGGACCTAGGTTTTTCTCAGTTTGTAGTTTTTTTAAAAATTAGTTTTAATTTCAATGCCTTTTATTGGATTATTCAGGGTTTAATCTTCTTGTTCAATTTTGGTAATTCATGTATATCTATGAATCTATCCATTTCTTCTGAATTCTCCAATTTATTGGTGTAAATATTTTTGAGGTTAATAATCTTGATTTTGGCAGGGCTGGTTGTGATTTCACCTTTTTCATTTTTAATTGCATTGTTTTGGTCCTTTCTTTCCTTTATTTGTAAGATTGAGTTTGTCTATTTAGTTTATTCTTTTGAAGAACCAACTCCAATTAATGTACTCTTTGTATTGTGCTTTTGGTTTCAATTTCACTGATTTCTGCTCTATGGTTTCCTTTCTTATACTAGCTTTGGGTCTGGATTGTTCTTATTTTTCTAGGACCTTCAGGTAGGCACTGTTTTTGGCAGAGATACATGAGTAGCCAGAACAGGCAATCATAAATCAAGAACTGGATGTCAAGAAAAAGGCTATACTAAGAATTTCACTGTGCTTTGAGGTACAAACAGGGGCTTTATGGGTAAATTTGAAGACACCTACTAGTAGGTTGAAAATAAAAGATGGATAGTAAAGGGAATAACTGCACAAAATTGGAGGACTAGTTAAGAAGATCCAATACCTAAAAGGGTTACAAGAAAGAAGGCGGGATTAGGAAAAAATCATCTATGAAATAACCCAAGAAAAATTCGAGATTGAAACTGCCAATGCACGAAAGTAGATTTGCCGTTTAGCACATTACAGTATTTGCCAATAAAGAGTAAATTTAGGAACTTGCTTTACTGTGATGAAACACATCATTTTGTGAGCTTATATACCCTTAACACTAAATGATTAACTACCAGCTATACTTAATCTTGAGAACTGTTTCTTTAGAATACATTTAAAAGGCATGGAAGTAATTTGACTCTTAATTACAACAGAGCTGTGGTTCCAACTGGCTCTTTGTTATTTTCTTTCTTCTTTTTTTACTGTTGTGACCAAGCTGTTCCTCAAAGGGAAGTGGGCAAGAAAGTGAGTAATACTAATCAATGTGTTTATCAGCTGTTCTTGTTTAAAACAATTTGGTGTGAAATAACAAAAACTTGTGAATAATCAAAATAGTATCACCTAGGGAACAGTTAAGGAAATTAGGTTAAATGGCATAACCTTACCATGGAATAATAGGCTGTTATTAGAATGGTGCTAAGGGAATAACGTGGAAGGTTTCATGGAGAAGAGGAGGAAGAGGAGGAAGAAAAAACCCAAAACAAAAATGAAAAACTAGGCCCAGAGATTTAGCTCAGTGGTTCCAGTGCCTGCCTCGCAAGCACAAGGTCCCGAGTTCGATCCCCGGCACAAAAAACCAAAAAAAACCCCCCAAAAATGAAAAACTAATGAGCTGAACAGAAGCATTTCTACACCATGATTCTAAACACAAATAGAAATAAAGATCTGGAAAGCTAAACTTCAAACTAGTACCCTGTCCCCCCTCCAGATTGTATAATTTAGTTAGCAGTCTCTCCCCTACCCCAGTAAAATTTTAATTGAAAATTTTATAAATGATAAAAGAATAAGTTCAAACATCTAGGATTTGTTTCTAGATAATTTTGGGGGGGGGTTAGAATCCAAGAACTTATGCTCTGTCCTTCCTTAGACTACCGGTAAATGGAAATAGTATGCCTAATCTTACATGGTGAGATGTTTATAACAAAATGACAGAAATAAAAATCTAGTACCCTCAAACTCTTTCTGTAATAGAAGCCGTGCCAGGGTCCATTGCAGGGACCAGGAGCCGGAGCGGGCAGAGGTGCTGGGGTGGGGCCACCCGGCGAGGCCACCCGGTGGGGTTCAGGAGGCTGAGAGGCTGTGATAGGTGGAACATAGGCATTTTCCGCGGACAGTCTACCTTTCTAAGCGCCGTTAGGTGAGCAGGCTGGGTACCCCTCGTTGCTCTGTGTAGCCGGGGGAACAGCAGCTTTGGCCTCATCTGGAATTCATTAGAAATGCAGACTCTCCGACCCGAAGACCAGAATCTGCACCTTAACAAGGTCTCCCGGTGATGCGAATATAATAAAGTCTGAGCTTTCCCGGACCTGGAAGGGTAGATTAGGAAAGAGAGGCCCCGTCTGGCAACCCGGAAGGGGGGGGGCAGGAAAGGGGCGAGACCCCAGGCCCTAAGGGAGGTCCCTTCACCTTTTTCCCTCGTCTCCACACTGCATTCTCCTGGAATCCACAGGGCTATCCGTCCTCCGCTCCAGGCAGAAGCCACCTCTAGGGCTCACGGAACTCGGCCCGCCCCATCTTGCGCCCAGAAGCTCCTAAGGCTGAGAAGACTACGGAACCACGGAGTCAAAAGTACCGCCAATGGCGCGCGCACCGGCTCCAGCCACCGGCCCATACCCCGCCCCTTCCGGAAAGGCCGGAAGTGACGTCATACGCGAGCCGGCGGGTCTCAGCCTTTTTACTCCTCCCGGACTTTTCCTTCCCGGTCCTTTCCCTCCCTTCCCCTTTTCCTCCTTCAGCTCCACCCTTTGCGGCCACGGCGTTGGGAGCGGCAATGGAGTAAGGGGACGGCGGCGGCCAGACGCGGAGCTGAGCAGGCGTAGCCGGGAGGCGTTTAGGGGGCGGGGGGAGCGAGCCCCAGCGCCACCCCTCCTGGGAGCCGCGCGAGAGGTGAGCGCTGGCGGCGGCCCGGAGCCGCCTCTTCTCTGGCCGCCCTCGAGCGGGGCTCCCCGGCCGGCGAGCGCAGACCGGGGCCGGGCCCAGCGCAGGCTAGGCCTCCGGGGCCGCCGGTTACCTAGTGACGGCCGCGGGGTCCGGCGAGCACCGGGCCGGGGAGCGGATCCGAGAGCCCCGAAGCGGCCTGCGGGCGACGGGAGACCCGGGATCGGGGTCTCCTGCCGGACGGAGAGTCGCTGGCGCGGGAGCTCGGTCCCCTTTTGGAAAATAGGACACTGCTCTGGGACTGCGTAAGGCAGCTACGCTCGGCTCTGAGGTCCGGCTCTGGTAACCTGGGGCACCAACTTGGGCCCTCCCCTCCCGGCGTCCTCCTCCGTGGTAGCAGTATGGGGAATGGAAGGTTATTGTGTGAGGTGGGTGGGGCAGGTGTTTTGTTAAGGCTAATATCCCCATCGGTGGCTCCTGCACCCCTTGTTTTTCTAAGCGAGAGAGAAGGGATGAGTTAGATCGATAAAGCTTGTAAAAACTTCTTGGGATTCGGCTGAACACATACCTGTGATCAGAACACCAGTGTGATCAAGTCTGCCTCTAACGGGATCGACGAGATAGACTCAAGTAACTTAAAAGCTCCATTGCCAGTAGTGACTTGTAACTTAAAAGTTTTTTTGCACATCAAATTCAGAATTTGTATGATGACACTTAAATTATATTCTATGTGTAGGTTTTAAAAGTAGCATGGCTCAGTTCTTAAAAAGTAATAGTTTAATAAAAATTCTCTAAACCAGCCCATCATCCTAGTCCCGATGGCTTGAAAATTGGAGGGGTTGCAGATTCCTTCGGAACCTTGCCACTTATTTTCTAAAATAAAGCTTGCTGGGAGTGGAGATTGTGTGAAGAACCTAGGGAACCTAATGGAAGATGAGGGCCTTCATTCTCTTGGGATCTACTTTACACGTATGCAGAAACTTGTTCTTTTATGTCTTCAGTTCCGTGAACTCTCAATAAAATAAATACAGGCGCATTGCACTGCCGTACAATGGAGTATTTCTGTGCAAGTCAAACTTGGAGTTGGGAATAACAACTCATACACTTTTGCAATTCATGATCTCAAGGAAAAGAAATAGGTCCTCTTACTGTTCCACTCTTTTTATAGGTGTTGAGCTTTCAGTTCTTCTCATGCCTCATGCTCAGTTTCTCACGAGTCTTGACATCTTTAACACCAGGCTTTCTGGGTCTGATCTCCAACTCCTCATGTAGATGGCCTTATGGGCCTCTTGGTTATAGCTTCCCTGCATCTACTGTGGTCCTTTGTTTTCATCCTGAACCAAGTGGCTTTTTCAAAATGCAGATTTGATCAAGTCTCCATGTTTGAAGTCCTTCCATGGCTTCTCATTGTAGGGGAAACTGGACTCCTTACCATGCCCTGTGAGGTCCTGCGTGGTTGGCCCTCTGTCTTTCCAGCCTCATCTCCACAGTGCTTTCTGGCATTCCTTTTCTCCTCTGGTTACCTTGTCCATCTTTCTGTTCTTCAGCTACATGGCTTTTGGTTATGCTTTGGGGAAGCATCTCCAAGAGCCTGGAAATGCTCTTCCTTTCCTTTTTAAAAAAAATGTTTTGTTTTTTTGGAGACAGGGTCTTGCTTTGTAGCTTTGTACCCCAGACTGGCCTGAACCCCCAGCCATCCTCCTGCTTCAGCCTCCCAAGTACTGGGATCACTAGGTGTGCAACACCTCACTCAGCTTCCTTTCCTTTTTATCCAGTTGAGGCCTATTCATCAGTCGGCTCATATCAGGGAAGACTTTACAGATTAGGATAGAGTCTCCTTGTGTGTTCTCATGAAACCATTGCAGAGTTGCCATATTTATTAATGCTTAATAAATTAACGAGCCATTCTTTATTTCCTGATATGTGTAAGTGCTTAATAAATGTTAAATGAATTCATTATGCACTTAATAAATTGTGTCAGGAATTGAACTGATCATTCTGCGTGCATCATCTTTAACCCTCACAACAGTCACCTGACTGGGTGGCCTTCCCTCCTTTCTATAGCTTATACATGGTATAAAGGAGGTTATTTGTGGTCACAGCTCTACCACATATAAAAATTGCCACTTGAACTCAGGTTTCCTTGCTACTGAAGATCATGTACTTAACCGCATGACACTTAATTCTCACACTTTTCTGTTCATCAGCAACATCTAGCTCAAGCTACAGATGGCCTGATGCAACTTTTATCAATTCTGAATCTAAAGGTTTGAGGTAGTAGGCAGATGTTTCTATGGCTAAACAAGTTCTTTAGATGTTCACCAGAGTTTGAAAGCCTTTATCTTTCTTAGACATTACTTCACTTTGTTTTCACATTGTATTCTACTTTATTTTACATTTAGGAGTTTCGGAGTTGAGCCTTCCAAAAATTAGGGAGTAAACTGGGATGTGGTGGTGCATGCCCGATATCCCAGCACACCGGCAAGGCTGAGGAAGAAGGATCATGTTTGATTGCATCCTAGGCAATTGAGCGACTTAGCAAGATGCTACCTCCAAATAAAAAAGAGCTGGGGATGTAGCTCAGTGTGAGGACCCTGGGTTCAATCTCAGCATTGAAAACAAAAGAAAACTTGGGTATAAACTCTCAACTCTTGAAATTTTTTTTGAGCCAGGGTCTCATTATGTAGTTCAGCCTGGCCTTGAACTCACTATGTAGTACAAGCTGGCCTGGAACTCACAGTGATCCTCCTGCCTCAGCCTCCCTAGTGCTGGAATTACAGGTGAATGTCACCACGCCCTGTCTTTTTTTATTTTTTATTTTTTTGCCCTGCATTTTGAGAGAAGGTCTTGTGTAGTCCAGGCTGCCCTTGAATCATCTATGTAGTCCAGGATGGCCTTGAACTGTGTCCTGCCTTAGCCTCATTGCTGGGATTATAGTCATGTGACATTATGTCTGGCTCAAGTTACCATTTGATTTGATACTTAAGTACATGTTGCTTCACAGTTTCTCATGTTGCTTTTTAAATCATACTGTACAGTGGTTTTAAGTTTAACCAATTACTAACTCTGTTTCATTTCTTGTTTCTCATGGTGCTTTTCACCTTTAGTACATACATAATAATTTTTTGCAGCCATTATGTATGTATTTATTTTTTAACTTAGCCTTGTCTCCTATAAGTAATAATTTCTGGCATAACTGGTAATAGATAGTTTCTGTAGTTATAAAAAGAGTACAGCTGGTATAGTCTGTTCTAGTAAGATTAAACAGGACTTCTGTTTTACATCAAAGAATGGTTTAAATAATTTTTAAAAATTTTCTTTTAAAAAACTTCTAGTAATCTCTGAGTACTCCCACAGCAGAAATGTATATTTCAAAAATATATCTTAAGATCCTCTTTCTTTAGATATGAATAAATAAGCACCGTATATAGGAACATGGGCACAAAATCCTCCCTTCTCTCATAATTTGAAGTAGTGAGGATTGAACCTAGAGCCTTTTTACTCAGCTACATCCCCAGGCCTTTTGCTATTTTTTATTTTGCTACATGTACCTAACACATCTTAGCTCTTTTTATTTCTCCTCCTTTTCCTCCCCTCCCCTCCCTTATTTCATTTTATGAGGTGTCTCACTAAGTTGCCAAGGCTGGCCTTGAACTTGTGATCTTTCTACCTCAGCCTCTCAAGAGCTGGAATTACAGGCATTGTGCCCTGGCCTGTTTCTTATGTGTCAGATAGCTATTGGTAATAATTAAAAATCTCATTTAAGGGCAGGTCCTATTCTGTAAGCTCATTGAAATCATTTTGTTCTCGGCCTTCTGTCAGTCTCATGATATACTTATTTTCTTGGGTCTGTTTGGGTAACTTTTTTGAGGCCACAGTCTTTTTATACTGGATCTTGGTGCCCAGATTTTTACCTTCAGCCCAGACATTTTTTTCTACATTTTGGGCCTTGGTATCAAAAAATCTGCTATCTTCATATGAGTGTCATTCAGGCAACTCAGATTCTGCATGTCTGAAGTTGAGATCTTCCTTCCACAAAGCTGTTGTCTCCTGTATGCCCTGCCTTGGCCAATGGGTTCCTTTCTTTTAGACTCTGACATTGGAGATGGGCGGGGATGGGATTTCTAGTTGTGTTTCTTTCCTTTCTCTCATTCGTAACTAAGTGTCTTGTTTTATATTGTATGTTATTTTTCTTCTCCTTTCTCACTGTTTCCTTAATTCAGCAACTCCTTTTTCTTTTCAGATTTGCTTAAAATGTGAAATACAGTGCATAAAAACACATAACACCGTTTAATATGTAATTATAAATATCCATGTAACTAGTCACCTTTCAGATAGCCTCTCCACCCACCAACTCTTCCCTGTCTTTCTTGTCTGTATTTCCATGTGTCTTTATCTTTATTCATTTTTGCTTTACTCTGAACTACATATATGTCATTCCTGAAGTACATACTGAAGTTCTTCTCAGTCTGACCAGTCTGACCATATTTCCTGACCCCACCCTGTGTGCTATGTATCTTTCTCCGCTCCACAGAGTGATTAATTATCTTATCAAGCCAGAAACCTTCCCGTGACTTCTCATAGCTTGATATTTTACTACACATTGCCCTTGGTGAGCTGGCTTTTCTAGTCTGCTTTGCCATATTTTCTTCTTTTCCTTTAGCTATTATCTGTTTTGTTTTTACTCCTACATTTCTCCCATTCTCTGTCTAGTTCATTCCTACTTGGGTTTAAAAGCGTCTCTGACATTACTGTTCGGGAGCAGAATTCTTCTGGTCTGGTTCTCTTTGCTTCTGTAACATGCTGTGCATTGTATATTTTGTAGCATTTTATTAGGCTGGTACTGTGGTGGTTTTATGTATCTGCCTCTTTCCTTCTTAAGGTAGATCCTTCACAGCTTGTTTTTCCTTTACTTCCTCCTCAGCTTCTAATACTGTACATGGTATCAGATACGTAGTGGGTATTCAATAAAAATGAAACCATCCAGTGAGTTTCCGTGTCTGCCCTGT